CACACGGGGAAGAGGGAAGAGGGAAGGCGGCTGGAGTTCCTCCAACATTTGCGGTTAGATTATCATATTTTTTTATTGACAAAAATATAGGCTGCTTCGGCTGATTTTTTTATGCACACATGTGCCCCTAAATATTTTTTACAGTTCGCACACACCTATTTGTAGTCGCAAATGAGAGTGAAACACTCGCACTGTCGAGCCCTGTACTAGAATTTAGCATTGTTGTGCTGATCAGTGCATCATTTAATGCTGCATTTCTGTGAGTTGGTTTGTAGACGTAGGTTGTAACAGCAGTCACACTGTAATGTAGGACCACTGCTTTAGAGCCATGACCAAAGAAATTGCCACATTTCTTTCATGCTGGTCATCTTTTGTCTGGGACAGCCCAGAATCACACAGTGTATACTCAGGTTTTCAGATACTTCAGAGAGGTCAAATGCAGAAAAGAAAATTTCCCAAGGGGATCCATAAATGGAACTCAGCTGAAGGACTCCTTCATAGGATGGAGCTTTGCATACACAGCAACTTTTACCTGAAGCCTCCATTTGGTTTGGAAGGATTTTGTCACCGCCCTGCAAGGGCAGGGGGTAATTTAGGATTTTTTTCAACCTGAACCCTATTTTCCTATGCTTTTGTGGAAGAAGCTAATGAAGACAACATTTTTGGAAACTGGTCTGGTAATGAGCAAGAGTGCCGAAGCCAGCAGCGGTGAAACAGGCTGTAGTGTAATGTTAATTGGGCAATTGTGCACTATCAATTTACATCCACTCAAAGTGTTTGTTTTTGCCACAAACAGTTTCAGATTATTATTCTTAGTGTCTGACAGCATTATGGAAAGGATCCCTACAGAGATAGAATAATTTTATTACAGAGTAACATCCTTTTTATTTAACCAGAAACAGTCCCAAATCTTTATCACCAAACCCCCCAGACTCCATTTAAATAAACAGTAAACTTATCATCGTAAAACACACTTCATTCAAAGTCAGCAGAAACACAATAATACTCACAAAACCATCTTGGTCCGTCTTTGCACTGTTCCAACAATCACCAAATCTCCTTTCGTTGAAATAAAGCCTTAATTTACTGAGTTAGAGCTGAAAATATGCTGACTCATTCAATATGCTAAAATGACGGTTTAATCTAATGGACTCTGGTGGGTTTGCCAGTAAAGATTTGGGTCTGTTTCTGGTTAAACAAAAAGGATCTTACTCTTTAACAAAAAAGATCTATCTCTGTAGGGATCCTTTCCATAATGTTGTCAGACACAATCTGAGCCTGTCAGTGGCAAAAACAACTTTTAATAGACGTAAATTGACAACAGCGGTCTCCCTCGGTACTGGACCAGTTTCAAAAACTGTTACCTTCATTAGTCACTTACTCACAAAACATAGGGAAAATTGAGTCCAGGTTGAAAAATACCACCATTAACCTTTACATAATTAGTCTCCCAAAAGCTTTTAAGCTTCTGACAAGATGTTAGTGATTGATGTTACCGCTAAAAGTTGATCTACTTAAAGGACATGGACATTTTATGTACTTTTATTGTGGTCCGCAGATCAGTGCAGGGAGGAGTGATGAAGAAAGAAAGAGCCACAGAGAGATGATTAGAATCTGCATGTGCAACAAGTACCACAGTTTAGGTGAATCATCAAACCTTCCACACTGCCTCTGATAGTCTGACAGTCAGCAATGGCGTCAGCATTTTCCCCCCGTTCCTCACTCTGTGACTCAGTCTCAGTCAGTAATCATGTGGTGGGGTGGGGGGGTTGTTTGAAAATGAAATTACAGAATTGAAATAGTGTGCTGAGTAACAATCAATGCAATCGCAGCCAGACACCCTGCTGCCTCATAGGTGAGTAATATTTCTTCCTAATCACATTTCCTTTATGTGTGTTTGTGTGCAGGTTTCTGCTGGAGGCTTTGGAGGACCTGGACAGCAGTCTGAAGAAACTCAATTCCAGATTGTTTGTTGTCAGAGGGCAGCCTACTGATGTTTTCCCGAGGCTTTTTAAGGTCTGTATTCCTGCCCCAGCAACTGTCCTTTCTGTGTCTGTCAGGAACGAAACGTCTTAAACGACGCTGAATTTTGTTTCCTCCAAAAAGGCATTAGAAGGTGTTTAGTTTTAATCAACAAAGACATTAAATATTTGTTTTTCTGACACAGACAATAGTGTTAGTCCTAAAATGTTTTTTATCATGTACATTATGCATCTATAAACTAAAGGTAGGATTCTTTCAACAGTGGATTGAGCTGTTCAATCTGTTTTTTAGTCAGCACCATCAGACCTGTTGCCAACAGTGTCACCACTGCTGTCTACAGTAGCTAGGAAGGCTATCATCTCCCTGATGGTTTTCTATCATATTTTGGCTGGTATGGCAGTGAAACAGGTATTAAATTTCCTTCTATGTGACATTTAAAAGGTAATAAAAAAGTCCTAAACTTAAGTTGGTATATCCTGCAAAAGCTCGGACTAAATATTGTAATTTAGCAAAAGGTTGGAGTAAAACAGTCTTGGGTTTATGAAACCTGCAATTACTTTTATTGCCACTTGGGGCATTGGAAGCAAATTGTAAACACAACATTGACATATCATCATCACCTTTAAACGCACGGTATGTAATTTTGGCAGCTTGGGTCTATCAAAAAAATAACAAAAGATGGACTTTGATGACGTTGTGCAGTAGCGTAACTCACCACATACACTGAACAAAAATATAAATGCAACACTTGTTTTTGCTCCCATTTTTCACAGGTTTAAGGTAAAGATATAAGACTTTTTATGCACTCAATAGAACTGTTTCTCTCAATCTAAAATGTGCAGTTTGATCACACAATACAATGAGAGAGATGTTGCAGGTTTTAAGGGAGTGTGCCATTTGCATGCTAACTGCTGGAATGTTCACCAGAGCTGTTGCCCGTGAACTGAATGTTCATTTCACTACCATAAGACGTCTCCAATGTTGTTTCTGTGAATTTCACAATATATCCAATCAGCCTCACAACTGCACAAGTTGGTTACAAAGACAAACTGCTGTCAGGTCAAGACCTGGCGAGGACAACGAGCATGCAGATGAGCTTCTCTGAGATGGTTTCTGACAGTTTGTGCAAAAAGTTCTTGTTTGTGTGTAAACCACTGGCTGCATCAGCTGTGCAAGTGGCTGGTCTCAGATGATACACAGGTTAAGATGCTGGATGTGGAGGTCCTGAGCTGGTGAGGCTACATGTGGTCTGCTGTTGTGAGGTCGATTGAATGTACTGCCAATATATAAATGACCTACCCTCAGCGCACCTATCCCCATATAACCCTATACTACAGATTAATTTAATTAATACAAGGATTTTAAAGTAAAATGACTTTTTATCAGTCTTGAATTTATAGTTAACAGAGAGAGAAAAGGGGGGAGAGAGAGAGAGAGGAGAGTGTGCTGTGTAATTTTCTGGTGTATCAGTAAAGTGAAAAAACTATACTGCAGAGTGGAGTCTCTACTAACAGAGGCAAACAGTGACAGGTGACTCATATGAATGGGTGGGATGTGCATTAGCAGGTCTGCCTTACATCTGGTGTCATGAAATGTCTGTTTTGTTGCGCTGCATTTTTATAAACACATCCAGGGGCTGTCTCACCATCTCACAATATACTGGCCTACAACTACCAAATAGAATTAATGTGCTATTGAATCACCTCACACATTAACCCTCACCTTTAAACAAGCAAATGGCTCTGTCTCTCTCAAACACACACACACACACACACACACACACACACACACACACACACACATACACATGCAGTCAGAGTAGAGAGAGATTTTCAGTGTCTGAGCTGAGGGTCAACATGTTCCAGACTGGGTTGCCAGGTAACGGTACAAATCAATAGCTTACTGTAGCATCACATGGCTAACAGTTATTAATGAGTTTAACAACAGATTTGAGCCTTTTAAAAGCCTGGGGCCTGTATCACGAAGCGAGACCAACCTTTCCTGGGTTACCCAGACCTATCCTGGGTTGACTAACCCTAACAATGGCAATCAGGATAATCGGTATCACGACGCTGGATATCAACTCGGTAACTCAACCCAGGGTTGCTTTATCAAGAGCTGTGAACGCGCACGCAGCGGACCAATCACAATCATGAAAGAAGCGCAGCGTCACTGAGCGTCACTGAGCGTCACTGAGTGTCCTCACAGAGTGCCATATATGAGGAAAAAAAGTATTTGTAGTGAGGCTCAGAGATTAATTCTACTAAAATATGAGGAGGAGAAAAGCAACATTAGAGAAAAGGCCAACACCGTGGCAGCTGCAGGAGGAGGAAACATGCGTGGCAACGCATAACGTGATGAATAATGTTTAGTTTTAGTTTAGATTAGTTTATTTGCACATAATGTTAAAAACAGACAGTAGAAAATTTACAAGATTAAAAAATGAAAAGTGCCGGAGAGGTTAGAAGCCACTAAAAGCTTATCAAAGAAATTCCCCTGTCAAAACACCAATGAAATCATATAATAGAGAAGAAAAAAAAACCGGGTAAGGAAAGAAGAAATAGAGGAGGAGAGAGGGAAAAATCAAGACAAAACAAGGTAGCAAATAAAATTATGTGTAGGTTAAATTACTCATCACTGGTTCAAGTAGCTACAGTACCTGTACCTGTACATCTGACACTGATCACACCCATGAATCCCATGAAATCAATGCTGTGCAGATGAATTGCGTGTATTACAATTATCGTCTAACATCATTGCGTCTGATAAATTGGTCTTCTTTGTCATAACGTTATATATGCTACAATAAAGCTTAAAGCTGACGTCACAATTAAATCATATCAACACCAAATTGATAGTCTGAATAAAATCATCCTGATATTGAGCTGTGTTAGAAATTAACAGCTGCGCAAAAATATACCTAGTCTCCCTCTTTAAAAAAACAAAAAGGAAAATCCCTCAAACACCATGAAGTGTAGACATGATAGGCTACTTTCCACATTTCCAGCAGCAAAGCTGTCAATTAGGCCCATTATCTTTAACAGGGATCATTTCCTCCAACAAAAAAAAATGTTGGCACTAATTAATGGTGCTATTAAGTGTCCGCAAATGATCAGTTTCTTTCTTATGAAGGGGTGGGATGAAATTTCGACTTCTTTCCACTTCTTTTTGAACAATCTTTTCATTGTCTGTTGTTGTTGCTTTCTTTTCTTTTTTAATGTTCAAAATAAACTTTCAAATCAAAATCAATCAAATGAATTAAACTTCCCGTCATGACTAGGCTGCATTTCTGTCAGCGGAGTCATTTTTTTCCGAACAGCTGATTGGCCAGTGGGTGGTGCTTTTTATAGGATCAGATTCAACCCTGAACTTATCCTGCTCCAGAGCAGCATAGCCGTTCAGAGTAAGTTACCATGGTGATCTACCCCAATAAGAACTGAACCGGCTTCGTGAGACCGAAAACCCAGGGTTAACCCTGAAGTTACCTCGCTAAGACATTAATCCTGCTTCGTGATACAGGCCCCTGGTGTTGGAGATGTGCCGCTGCTACTAATTAGCTTGTGTCAACACTTCGGAGACGGTCCTTCAGTGCTGTGTTGAATCTGTTTAACAGCTGCAGGAAGTTTACTGATCTGGTGTCGGGAGGTTGAAAATCAGACCCTCGGTGCATCGTTTTGTCTTCCTCTGAAACTGTGAAAGATGCCCACACATGCTGTATGTCACATGTCATATGTTTTGCTCTTTTGACGGCATGCTGCAGTTGTTATTGTTGTTCCTTTTCTCTGTGTTTATTTGCAGCTCACAAACCAATTTTAAAGGTGTATCGCCACCCACTGTGTTGGGGTGTGTAGATGCTACCCTTGTTAAGTCAGTGAAAGCTGTTTGGTTTCGTATTATCTGTTATCATTTTGATTTCTAGAATAGTACATAATAAAAATGTCCCATGGCTGATCATTTACTGGCCTGTTATCTAGTGTGCATCACTATTAGCACAGCGTAGTAAGTAGGGCTGTACCCAAATATTCAGATATTCGAATATTCGTTTCTATGGGTAGGTATTCGTTATGAAAATTTGGTATTCGATATTCGTTTTTTTATTTACTTTTTTTTTTTTATTATTATTATAATTTTTTTTTTTACATATTTTTTTGGTGCTAAATGTAGTCTTTTTGTTGTTGGTAAATGTAGGTTATCAATAAAAATCAAAACTTTTAAATTGCATTGTTAAAAATGTGAAAATATAGTATAGCCTACCAACTGAGCTTGAGCGCACCTGTCTGAGGCTGTGGATCAATGCCAAGTTTTACCACTTTATCACTGTTCCCTCTAACTTGTAGCTATTTTTTCATTATCTTTTGAATTTAATATGAATTATGGAACCGTTTTTGTCAGCGTTTGTTTCCCCCGTTTTGTACAGTAAATTATTGTTTAAAGTTTCAACAAGTTTCTTTTGGAATGCGTGACACAAGTGTGTTTTGAAAACGGCCGCGGACTGTCACCTGCTCAACACATCAGTACCTTCGGATGCCATGACAATAATAGCCAATAATGTCAAAATATAATTTACAGACCGATTTAACAGACGATCACTGCTGCCCGACCCGCAGGTCCATTTGCAGGTCCCGCAGGTTACGGGTCGACCCGCGCATCACTACTCAGCTCAGTCTATAAAGGCTGTACACAGCAGTAGACATTATATTCTATTCAGGCCGGCAGAACCAACAGCGCATCGGCTCTACAGTGCACGGCACTGCTGATAAACCATTTTATTGCAGCACAGAGTGTCTGCCAGCAACCAATTACTTGCAGAGGCTTCCTACAACTTGTTTCAACGGTTCCGATTTAATCAGAAGACAAATTAAACAGGATGACTAGCCAATGTGAAAATCAAAAGAAAGCATAGAATAATGTACTGAAGGAGACTGTTGTGCCAATACATTTTTTTGTGGTTTGAGACCAAAGATCCGGTCGCTGCTGTGCAAAACTCCGCAATACAATTAGGTCAGCACCCCCACCCCTGCCCGCCGTGAACGAATATTCGAATATTCGTTATAAATTCAGCCAAAGGTCTGAATGTTAAAAAATGGCATTCGGGACAGCCCTAGTAGTAAGCTGCATCAATATTGAAAGACCATATTGAAAAATTAGATCTCAACAGAGTATCTGTTGTAAAATGGCATGCAATAATGAAAATGTGCTGTGTGGCTGAAAAATGCAGTATTACTGTTACTGATTAAAATTCTGTCACATTGCATGATCACAGATCATCTGGTGTTTCCTGTGTTTTCCCTTAAGTTAGAGCAATTAGAGAGACGACAGGCGACCAAATGAAACGCAGTGTTTCTTGAATAAAATGACAGATTTCTCTGCTTTGAACATCATTGGAAACATTTGCGACAGTATAAGTACACACCTCAACAAAATATAAAACTAAAATAGGTTCAGTCATTTCAGGCATTTTAATGCGTTAATGTTGCATATTATATCTTTAAGTTGAGATAGTGAACTTGTTAGCAGTAGTTGCTCATTTACATATTCATCTGTTACAAAGATACATAATCATTGAATCGGAGTGCATCTGGCCACCTGCTCAATATAAATCCAATATTCACATTTGTTTTCCTCCAGATGATTCCCCCTGAGAAAAGTATCTGGCCTTTTAGCTGCTAAATGCAGCACTGTCTGACAGCATCACAATAAGCCGTCACATTACTTTAACATTGTCATTTGATACAGGCATCGTAGCTGCCTTAAAGGATTAAATGGCTGAGGTACAAAGACAGTGTTAACATTTATGAGGAGATTCCCTGTGGGGATTTAGCTCCAGGCAGGGAGGGGCAATTCAGCCACTAACCATCTCCATATAACTGCCGTTACATAAGACACTGCTGCTTTTGCATTGCATCCTATAGAGTCGGCAGGTTTTCATTCCAACCAAACACAAGGTCAACTACTGGAGCTCTGCCATGTAGCAAGTGAGAGAGAGTTAAATGTGCCACTGTAGAGTTTGATTGGAATGAAAATGTTAATGAAAACACTTGTTAAGAGCCAATGTAGAAAACTAATAAAAGTTGGACCTTCTTCGTCTGTAACCTGTCCTACTACTTGAAGTTGTGTTTGTACTGGTGTCCGGGCTTTGTATGATTTTCAACTCTTTGTGGCCCTTTCAAGCTAAATAAAATGGAGAAGACCATGATGATGTAATAGTTATCCTCCCAGCCTTCATTATCAGCCCTTAAGGTGGATTTATAGTTGTGCGTCAGCTCTACGCAGAGTCAACGTAGAGTCTACATCATAGCTTACGCAAATGGCCTATGCTGTTGTGAGCATTTATACTTGTGAGGTGGCATGTCTGGGTTGCTCTGCAATTACACCGCCAACGCACTAGTTGGCGGTGGGGTTTCTATGAAGTGCCGTAAGGTTTTACTGATTCAAAACACACATACAAACATGGCTTAATAGCAAAAATGTCAAATATGAGTACACAAATCTTCTTTAGTTCTTTAGTTCTTTACCCACAAATACAACATGCTTATTAGCCCAAGGATATGGCATCTGACATTACATAAATTAGCATGGTAGCTAGAGGAGTTTACTCACATGAAATAAAAAAACAGTAACATTTTACAAAGGTAATGCTGTGACAGAATTCAGCTCCATTATAACTCACAAGGTTCACGGACGAAACAATTGTCTCATACTAAACATATTTTTTCCACATGTACAACGTGCCAAACTTATAAGCGGAAGTCAGTGATATTTTTCATTGCATAAATTAGCCTAGTGACTAGTGGACTTTCTACTACATGTATGACACCAGGATTAATCACACACAGAACTGAAAATGACATCTGTGGGGGGGTTTGTTGTCTTCAAAATTATTCTTTTTTTAATCTAATCAATCAGTCAGTCTCCACTGAGTGAAATAGTTTTCAGCTTACAAAAATGAACAGGAGGTTGTCACATTTGTCAGGCTGCGGCATAGGGTAAGCATCTATGCAAAGCCTATGCTGTAGGGATGGCGTTGGTTCGACTCAGATGTATAAATTTTTCCTTGGGATGAATTAAGTTCTTTCTAATCTATTCTATTCTAAATACTGCTTTAGAAGACTAGGGCAAAAACAAATACTGATTTTTTTTAAAGACTCATGAGAGAATATATTAGTCCACCAATTTTTAGATTAAATTCTGTCTCCTAGGGTGCTTTTACATGAACAAACTGTGGTTTGGTTTGCTTTGTTTGCAGTGATGTTGGCAGGTTTTCCATGTTGTGAGTCCCTACAACCCATAGTCTCTGTTACGACCTCTTACACAGACGCCAATGACGTCAGCACGCTGGCTGGCTCTGTCGTCTGTGGACATTCCCATAGGAAAGTTGTAATAGACTAATGTCCCCAGACTCCCATTCCGAAGTAAGGGAGGCTGGTCATGCGAGACTATACGACCCACAGATGGTCATTTGAGTATGTTTCCAATAAAATTTGTGTTTTTGGACAAATTATAGTGTTAAACTTGTTTTGATGAGATGTATCATTAGTCTGTGTACACAACATTATACAAATCTTGAGTTGAGTATAGAGAGCTGAAAATTATCTACCCACTATCAAGTAAATCAAATGTGATATGATTGCGATATTATACGATAATCCAGAAAAATTTAAATAAGTTCAAGTAAGTGAATGGTTCAATATTTTATGAAATATGTTTATTCTATTACATCTTCAGAAGAGTTTTTATGTTGTCTGTTCACTCAGACTCAGAAATGGAGTGCTCGTGTGTTGCATGATATATTGTGGAGATATCTAAAATGGTGGCTGCTGGTGAGAATATTTTTTTCAACACAGCGTGCCCTCTGGACTGTAAAGCATCGCGTGTCATCCATGACATGAGTGAACACAGCATGATCTGTTGTCACAGTAGAGATTGCTAAGTAAGATTACAGGGATGTACATTTATGAACCAAATAAATAAAGGTTATTGTTTACCATCGGTGCCGCTGGCATCACTGTCTTGGCATTCAGAACTTCAGAGAGCTGGGGATGACAGCAGGTGGGCGGACAGGCAGGTGTCAGATCTTTGCAGAGCACTGGAACAAAAACAGCGACACATCACCAACAGTATGAGAGTAACAACTGAAGCACATATTTCACTCAGTCGTTTCTGTGACATGGGAAATTATTTCAAAATAAGTGAATTCACACAACACCACTGTTTCTATGTTTTCAACACTGATTTGTTGTTGACAAAGAAGCTTTATCAAGGGGAAGTAGGTGTGTTCCCTGGATGCATCCATAGTGCATTCACTGCTTCCTTTCAGATTTTACTGTGTCAGGGACACAGGAAGTGTAACTAGCAACATCACTGATTACGTTTGTCGGAGCTGATCTAAAAGCTGTCGATCTCACCATCTACAAACCAAACAACTGAGACAGCTTGGTGGTCTTTGTCTACTTCCAGCTACAGTCTGGTGCTGTTTTTTTGTGGTTTGAAAGCAAAGTGGACCAACCATGGGATTTTGTAATTTATGTTTATTACTCTTACTTCATTCATAGTGCTCATGTGGAAACTGAATTCACAAAGTGCTCCGCAGGATGAATTAAACAATCACGTACAGGGAGGTGAATGTGAATAAAAATAATACAGGAATTTATTACTCAGAAAGCCATGTAAGCTGCAAAAATTATAAAACAATCTGTTCATTTGGCATACCACCCAAAAACAGTGTCTCAACTAATCTCCTCCTTATCATGTATCACCCACAGCTATCTTAGGCAAAACCAAGTGTACGTCCGGTCTGAAGATTGTGTGAGGTGCGCACATTCACAGCACATTCATCCTTTGTAAATACGAGTTTATGTGTGGAAAAATGTGTACTCATGGTTTTTGTGCGTACACATTGTTCATGCATCTGGCCCCTGATCTTAAAGATGCCAGAATACCTTAGATGCATTGTACAAACTGTGACCTGGTTTGCTTGCATTGTACAAAAGTGCGCCTTGATGAGCTAGATTACAGGAAACACATGCTGAGAGCCATGTTGAGTCCAAATTTGAAACTGTAACATGATCAGTGTTGTTTGATGTTTGGTTTTAACATAGCTGAACCACTCAGCCCTGCTGTGCAGTCTGCTCTTGTCTCACTGCCTTGCTAATAACTTCTCACTGTGTCTCTCTTGAATTCTGTTTTTCTTTCTCTGCCTCGCTGCAGGAATGGAAAGTGACCAGGCTGACATTTGAATATGACCCAGAGCCTTATGGGAAGGAGAGGGATGGGGCTATCATCAAGATGGCCCAAGAGTTTGGAGTGGAGACTGTTGTCAGAAACTCGCACACCCTCTACAACCTGGATAGGTTTGTAGCACACACACTCATTATTCATTACTCAATGTGTTCATCTTCTGAAGTCAACACCGACATTAGCCACACCTGTGTATACACATAGTTGTTCTGTTAGAGAGATCATTTACCGCAGTGTATTACAGTATGATTAGTAGTTTATAATGAGAAAGTAAACAACTCAAGCAAAATTCAAGAGTGTGCTGGTAAATGTTTATACTGTACAGACTGAATGGAATCCATTGGATGCATGGAAATTCAAATTTCTGAAACACAGCAGCACGGTTCTCTGAGTGCTAGCTGTGATGTAATCTGTGGTTCTTTGACCTCTTTTGTCAGGCATATCCATGGACCATTACATTACAATTAAAACAGTGTCAACTTCACTGTGAAATCATAATGCCCTGCAGAATCACTTTTCTGGCCATTACATCACAACTCAGGAACAGAAGGGGAGGCGTTCAGTCAGATACTGATTTGCTGACACTGATCTTGGGTGCCCACCTTGAAACTGTGCTGATTGTATAAATCATCTGTGCTGCCAGGCTGAGAATGTGTTTGATGCGTCCACGTTTTAGAATTTGTAGCTTCTTTGCAGCAACATACATATTTGAAGCATCGCCTACTGTAATGGCCACATGTTAGTCTGGACAGACATGAATGTAAACTGCAACTTGACTGGCTGACGGAGGCATACAACTGCGAGGCAGTAATTTTAGTTTCAAATTAGTAGAGTTACTCCACAATCTTTTTACGTATTCTGGCAACTGCAGAAATAACCCTGGTTGGGAATCACTGATGTAAAGGATATGTGATTTGGGCTGAATGTGCCAAAACACCCTAAAACTATTTCATTAGTCCTTGAAACTGAGAACTGTTAGGGTAGGATTTATACAGAATGTAGGTGTTCATTAAGCAAAAAAAGGTGCGTGACACAGAGGCAACAGAAATGTTCTCTAAATGTGAGGTTTGTTAAAGTCTTATGATTTCTTTTATTTTAGTCGCACTCACTTGTGCAGAGAACCTTCCCAACATCAGAAGTGAGTCCACTCAGCACCACCTTAGTAAATAAGAGGTGTGTCATGTTTTAGGTTTTGACAGTTGAACAGTGTCATCTGTTTCAGAGTTTTTGGTCATTTAAAAGAAAAATCACCAATAGTCCACATCCAAAGGGGTGCTGAACAAAACTGGAGCAATCTTAATTCATAGCCCTCCAGTGGTCGTGTCATTTTACTGCAGGTCACACCCCTGTCCATGTGCTGGGATCAGGTGGAGGAGGGAGTAGTAAAGGACTTTCCCCATATACAAGCCTCGCTGTGTCTTTTCTTCTACATGGAGAGCATTCAGACCAGCACAGTATTACAGCACTGTATTACATAATGAATCGGAATATTACTGGCCCGAGTGTGTAAGAATACTGTATGAGTCAGTAGATGAGGCAAGAGGGAGCTCAGCTTTGTGTGTGTGCTCAGCTGCAGGGTTTATATTGGTTGTGGACATGTGCCCAGCTTACTGCACTCATTCATAGTAGTCACAGTGAATTGACCAATAGGAAGCCATCCCTGCTGCAAATCCACCAACCAAGGATCCAGAGCGGCCTCACAGTCAAGTTGTGTAAGATAGAAACTATAAATACAGAGCTTCACTGTGCTTTCAAAACAACCTACAAAGGAGCATTTAGGTTCAAGTGCAACATTGGGCCAGTTTTGTTATGACCCACGAAGGTATAGTTGTTTCCTTCCACTCCTTGATGCATTTCAGCAGTTCAAACAGGCAGTTGAGCACAGTCGGGTGCTGCTGGATTTGGGTTGGCCGTGTCAGTTTGTCTGTCTTCCCCTCAGTCCACCACTTTGGTCCAAGAACATCTAAAGTACCAACCAGATTGCCATGAAAAAAAAAAAATTCAGAAGATAACTGCTAGTGACTTTTAAATCACTGTACTTTTGTCTAGCACCAACATCAAGTCAAGTGACTCCTTTACCAACTATTCACAGTCTCTTCTAGGGCCAGGCAGTAATTTAATCATATTTAATCATTTCATCAATTTAATCATATTGTGAAATTATGATCTTGTAATATATATAATTCTGTGGTCAAAATTAATAAAATAAAATAACTTCAAGCAAACTGTGATAACAAAACAAAAAAGGGTATTAAAGTTTTTGTTTTACACATGGTTAGAGTTTTCGCTGATGTTTTTTATATCTAGAAGACACTTCTGTTGCAATATTAAGTTATATTTTAGTTAGTTATTTTTTATTTGTCATTCTGAATTTGAAATGAAATTTGAAAACAAAAATCTGCAGTGGAAGTTTTTTTTAGCTGGACCCGATACCTTTCCGCTCAGCAATAGCTGAAGGTTCCAATGATTATAATCAATTCTATTACTCTTCTATTATCTCCATGAATTTCTAGTCATAAAAGTTTGATTTTAAATACAGAAGTGTGCATAACTGATCATAAAAAATACACTATTTGAGCTTTGTTAGATGTGGCAGTAATATTTTTCATGGAAGGACACTTCCTTTTGAAAGATTACTAAAATAAATAGAAAATGTGTGCACATACTTGGTCAGTAAAGCTGATTCTGAATAGTTGTTAAGACATTTCACTCAAAGGTACAATGTCAACCTCATGGTGGCACTAGAGGGAACAGTCAGTGGTTACTAAAGTCATTAAGGTTTATCCTCTTGGTACCATTCATGTCTAAAAAATTTCACGGCAAAATCAACCCTTCACTAAGCCCTTTGTGATGGTCATCAAGCTGTCGAAGCAAGCATAGAGTCCACACTTTAATTAATTGTTCTACCTGAAGAAATATTATCAAAGTTCTTTGGAAAAACAAAAATGAATTTCATAGAGAAGCAGACAGAAGGGTCTACAATATGTGTTTGAAGGAATATCCAGGATGTCAAACTCTTAAGTCAAAAGGCAAAGATAGTTAGAAGCTAAAGTGTAACTATAGGCTACAGATGACTGTGTAAAAGTGATCCACCACATCACTGAGACAGACAGAAGACCGTGAATATAAAGGGAAACTTTGACATTATTCAACCAGCTGTGTGTCATCGTAGTGTGTGCTGACTAACAATGTGTGGCTTCCCCCTGTCCCGCCGCAAGTACCTGGACCTTCACAGATGGACGGAAAGGGAGCTCAGAGAGAGACCACACATCGTTCATCTGCACAGACTGTGATGACACACAGCTGGTAGAATATCTGCAAAGTTTCCCTGTTTCCCTTCACGGGTTCTTGGAGAGCAGGGTGGGTTTTGATTCATTGGATCAACCGATCCATCCGTATTGCCGATTAATCTGCGCCAACAGGACTTAATATAAAGTATCGTTAATGGTTCAACGGGGCTCCAATAGTGGCCTATGGTCATGTGGCTACAGCCTAGCGAAGGGTCAATTCATAAAATAGTTGAAGAGATATTTATGTTCAGTCCAAAGTGGTTGGACAAAGAGCAGCATTGCCATCCCTAACTACCATACCAACAATACACAATTATTTGATCATCTTTTTTTCTTTTGTCTTTTTGTTGTTGTTGTTGTTGTTGTTGTTTTTGCTCTGTTTTTTTTTTTTTTTTTTCCCCCCCAAAATATAATTATCGATGTTAATACAATTTTGGTTATATGGGAAGTAGTCACTGAATCAGTCACTCAGTCATATGCCTCCACACGCTATCCACATCCTTCCTTCGTTGAATGCTGCTCTGAACTCCTAGTTTGTGGCAGGAGGCCTGCATGTCTGCCACACAGCTGAATGCCAAGTTGCCATTTTAGCATGAACAGTAGCTGGAGAGCCACTGTCACTAAAGAGTTGATCTAGTCAGTAGTATATTACAAACAATCCTGGGTGTTTTTCCTAAGAAAATGAAGCGGATTTTGGCAAAATTTCTTAAAAAATACTATACTGTACTTGCTATACAATTCATTGAGTAAATCCATGCTCCCCAGAGGATAAACCCCTTTCATTTGGATACTTGCTAAGCTTTTCTCTCCAGTACCTCTCTCATGACAAAATGTCAACATTGTACACAAGAAATCTCCTCATCTAGAAAACCCTAAAATCCACTTTCATGATTACAAGAAGATAGGCCCTTTTAATTATAGTAATCCCATCAGACTGCCCTCAGGACTTAACCAAACTTTGTTGTTTTGTCCACCCATCACTTGAGTAATGTGCAGTCTTGTTGACTTAAAGCTGCCGATAGTTGTTGAAATTGTGTACTAAATACAGTATTACATGAAATTATTCCACGTGCATCATTCCAAAAGTAAAATCCAGCTTTATCTTTTTTTAAATGAAATAAAATGTTATACTTTTTTGTATCTTTCAGTTTGGGATATCTCAATAGAATATTGTCACTGACAATAAGTTTTGTTGGGTATTGTTCAACTTTTCTGTCTTTTCTGTATCGGTCACAGGATAATAGAGGTGAACAACAACAGCCCTCCACTGACCTTTAAGCGGTTTCAGACCATTGTGAGCAGACTGGAGTTGCCCAGGAGACCTCTGCCTCCCATCACCAAGCAACAGATGGATAAATGTCGCACTAAAATAGCTGACAATCATGACCAGCTATACAGTATACCTTCACTGGAAGAACTAGGTATGCGTGATTGTTTTTGTTGCGTTTTAGAATTTAACATGACAGGTGTAGGACTTATAATGCTGATGAGCACTGCAACATGGTTCTGTTTTCAGGGTATGCTGATGGACAACTAGAATACAGGATGCGATTAGATTGATTTATTACTGCTAGTCATACCTTATTAGACATGCAGTTCATAGACATTTAGGTACCACATTGTTAGACAGTCAAGCATAATATTTCTCATGTAGTAGAGAACAGTTTGCACTTTGGCAAAGTTTGGTTCTTTAGATAATAACTGCTTTATATTTAACATTGTCTTCATGTAAATGTGTGTCCAGGTTTCAAGACAGAAGGTTTACCTCCAGCTGTGTGGCATGGAGGAGAGTCGGAGGCTTTGGACAGACTCAACAAACATCTGGACAAAAAGGTAAACCATTTTAAGTTTGTTTTTGGTCTTTAATACTAACTTATGGTGGCAACCTGTCACCTGTCTCTCCAATGTTGTGACCTTTGACCTTATCTGTTGAATTTGTTTCTATTTGAATTTGTTGGCAAGCTTGCTTGTTGTCTCGTAGGGATGGGGTGATATAGTGTACACTCTTAAATAAAATACTGTATTCAAATAATTACACTCTCTGTCTTTACATGACATTATGGTCACTTGTATGTCCTCATTGTGTTTCTGTTTAGGTGTGGGTGGCCAACTTAGAGCACCCTCGTGTCAACACGTGCTCTCTGTATGCCAGTCCCACTGGCCTCAGCCCCTACCTGCGCTTCGGCTGTCTGTCCTGTAGGGTGTTGTACTACAACCTCAGAGAGCTCTACATGAAGGTACTTTGGAAATCTGTCACTCAACCAGAGAGAGATTAGCTTAGGCTACACTTTATACACACTACAAATTGAAACCCATTTTAAATTAAAGCAAAATGGCTGAATTGGTAGTTGTCATTATGGCACATCCACAACCATGCTGACCAACTTGATTTGCATTAGTAATAAGCAATATATTGGACGAATTGAGCCAAGCACAAAATGCTATGAAATTCCTGCCTTGACGAGGCAGTGCAAAAGGGGCACGTTCCACTTGGGAGCAGCTGCTGAGTCAAGTTTGACACCCAGTGGTAAAATTTGGTATAACGGTCTAATCCTTGTTTGGCTCACTACCTTACACACTGATGCCTGTTTGTTCTGTTCTGTGTCAGTGATGATAATTCCTAGTTCTCTTTGACTATCACATTTGGAATCAAAACTTTCTAAATAGCAATTGTTCTGTATCTCCTCTGTTGTTCTTTACCGCTTTCTGTCATGTGCTCTCCATTAGCTCCGTAAACGTTGCAGTCCTCCTCTGTCCCTGTTCGGCCAGCTGTTATGGAGGGAGTTCTTCTACACAGCTGCCACCAACAACCCAAACTTTGACCGCATGGACGGAAACCCCATCTGTGTCCAGGTGGGCCTTTGCACCACTCTATTCACTAGAAGAGGTTCAAACTTAACAGCTGGTTTCCTATGCAGTATGCAAATGTATGGAATTTGATTTTCGTAATTTACGGGTCTGGATAAGTATGAAAAGGAAGAAAAGGGAGTATGGGAAAACATTTGTGTTTCCAGAGCCCCTGTTAAGTTACATCCCCTTTTGGCAGAGATGATTGACAGTTGAATGTTGTCCAACTTTCTACATAGGAGTGTGGACTGAACTGCCATTATGGGCAATATACTGGTTAGCTTAGGATTCCAAATGGGAAAAAGAAAACTAGATGCAAACTTCTTGTAAAATCATTCGACATCTCAAACATCAAAGAGGTGGCAATTTTAAGTCATATGTCTGAGCGCCTCTGGCAATTATTTGGCAACATAATAGCATGCTTAGTCAAAATGTAACATACATGTTAACAGTTGGATTTTAAAATCAATCTTTTACATGATAAACATCTAGCTATCTGTCATGAAGTTGTCCACACTCTGGCCTGTGTATGTGATGCCAGCAGCTGTCTTATATAAGGGTGTTTGTGAGTCAGATTTTAAAATAGACTTTTATATAAAGGGCAACAACTTGTTGAGCACTGTGGTGCATCTGTTAACTTAGATTGAAGATGTGAGGTTCTAACACTTAACTGAACTATTCACATATTCACAGATGTGTGTTTTACTACATTTTTGTGTCTGAAATAGCACAGACACGATTCAAAGGATAACAAACAATCATATGTAAAGTATTGCAAAACTAGAAAATGACAACAAGAAAATAAAATATTATTAAAAAAAACAAAACAAACTGAAATGATGATTAAAAGACATTAAAATAAAAAGAAAAAAAAAATGATATAGCTGATAGCAGTAGTTCAGAGATTCAAGCCAGCATGGAGCGTTAGAAGTTGAAAGCTGTGAAGGATCAAGATCTTGGACAGTTTACGACACCAACATTTAAGATATCATACAGGTTTTATAATGATCGCACAAATCTAGCTCACGATTCTGCAGCAATGTTGTGACTCCCTATTGGTCATTTGCAAAAACATTTTGGGGACATGTTTCAACATCTGAATGAGAAATATTCACCTACAGTAGTTTGATGGACAGACTGTCATTGATTTATGGCCAGGCAAACAAACGTGTTTGGAAATGGTGGCACTCCTATTGACTGATTGTCAAATTATTATATACACACATCATTTAACATTATTTTTTAACATATCCTGCAAGTTTTGTAATAGACTAACAATTTCTGATTTGTAGTCTGATTTGTGTTAGGTCACTGCCATTTTTGCATTTGTAGTGCCCCCGAGTGGTCGATTTGAATGAATCTTTAAGGGTATGTTAAAGGTCCTTTCATTCGTCAACATCCTCAAAACCAGTAAAATCTCAACAAGCTTTTGATAACTTTGATAAGCTTTGTCCAGTGATGATCTACAGAAAATGTAATGCAAATCAAAACTACAGTTTAGGAGATGTCAAAAATGTGTTTTTCATAAAAATCAAAATGGCATTATGGCACCCCCTTTTGACCGGTTTCAAAATAATTTTACATTTGTGGTGAAACACTATTATTAAACATGTCCTGCAAATTTTGTAATGATTGAACCAAAAATGTCTGATTTATAGTCTGATTTGTGTTGTGCCACATCCATTTCTTTTTCTTTGAATTTTTGGCGCCCCTTAGAGGTAAATGGTAAATGGACCTGCATTTGTATAGCGCCTTTCTAGTCATCTAGTGACCACTCAAAGCGCTTTTTACACTACGAGTCACATTCACCCATTCACACACACATTCATACACTGGTGGCCGAGGCTACCATACAAGGTGCCACCTGCTACTCAGTTTTAACACACTCACACACTGATGGAACAGCCATAGGGAGCAATTTGGGGTTCAGTATCTTGCTCAAGGATACTTAGACATGCGGACTGGAGGAGCCCGGGATCAAACTGCTGATCTTTCGCTTGGTGGATGACCCGCTCCACCTCTGAGTTTATTTTTGATAAACTTGGTCCAATAATGATCCAGAAAATGTGGCATAACCTTACCCAGACCTTCAGTCTAAGAGGAGAAGCAAAAAATGTGTTTTCAAATAAATTCAAAATGGCAGTAAATTTTACCATTGGGACTTTGCTCTGCGTTTGCTCTGAAGTGTTTTAAGTAGAGCACATTGAGCTGCACTTGTGTGTGGAATTTCAAGTCAGTTGGACTTATGATGTGAGGAGTGTGGTCTTTCTAAAAGTGAATTTTTGGGCTTAATTATAGCGCCCCCATCTGGCTGATTGGCATCATATTTGTTGAGCAGTGCTTGCACACAAGTTCCAATCATTGGTGAAACTCATGTGTCTTCAATGCACCGTCTCACAGGAATTTGCAAAAACACTTCTGGAGAAAAGAAAAGAAGTTAAAGCAAAAACAGTAGGGTTTCAGCCCTTTGGACTTGAATGCCTTAAAATCAGAGTAAAAATAAACAGCAGGGATAAAATAAGGCAAAAAACAATAAATAAACCTCAAGACTGTAATGTTACTCCAAATTAAAAAACTGGATTAGAAAGGTAGGTCTTTAATTTACTTTATCAAATACTGAGAGACCTTCCCATTCTAATATCCAGAGGCAGTGAGTCCCACAGTTTAAGGGGATAAAAATAGAAAGCACTCTCACCAGCATTTTTATGGGACACATGAGGAACATTTAAAAGCAAAGCAGTGGAGCCCCATTTCTACCAAGCAGTTTGGTAAGGTTCAGTTCAGTTCGGTACACATTTGTTTTGTTTTCACTGTACAAAGTTGTGGATGGTACCGATGGAACCATTCCTAACTGTCCTCATCTTTGTTCACCCCTCTATTGGGGTACCTAGCACACAGATCTGGTACTAAAATGTGGAGCTGTGAACACTGCAGTCTGTTGATTGACCAATAGTGGACGGTCTGTTAGAAGCATTATGTAAGGGATTATACTGTACAAATTCCACAGAGGAACTTGAAAGTTGGATTCGTAAAGGATTTGGCTCCTCCTGCCAAGAGAAAGAAGAGTATATAGCTGATAGCTCTCTCTTGTGTCACACATTTCCAGATCCCATGGGACCAGAACCCAGAGGCACTGGCCAAGTGGGCTGAGGGTCGGACTGGTTTTCCCTGGATTGACGCCATCATGACCCAGCTGAGACAGGAGGGCTGGATCCACCACCTGGCCCGACACGCCGTGGCCTGTTTCCTCACCAGGGGAGACCTGTGGATCAGCTGGGAGAGCGGCATGAAGGTAGGACAGAAGCATGGAGACCATATTTGCTTCTACACTGTGTAGTCTGACAGCATCACTGTCTTTTTTGTGCTCAGTTCACTGTAGGACCAACTGACAGCATAAATATAAATACTGTATGTGTGTGTTGGTGCAGGTGTTTGAGGAGCTGCTGCTGGATGCAGACTGGAGTGTAAATGCTGGAAGCTGGATGTGGCTGTCCTGCAGTGCCTTCTTCCAGCAGTTCTTCCACTGCTACTGTCCCGTTGGCTTTGGAAGGAGGACTGACCCGTCAGGAGACTACATCAGGTACACTTAACACTGGCACTCCTACAGTGTCTCCATCCATACCACATAATTATGACTGGATATGTTTTTAAATGCCAGCAGCAAATAGGACTGAAATTGAAATGATGTCTTTTAAATTTCCCTTCAGGCGTTACATTCCCATCTTAAAGGACTACCCAAACCGCTACATCTATGAGCCATGGAACGCCCCGGAGTCGGTCCAGAAGGCAGCCAACTGTGTGGTGGGAGTGGATTACCCCAAACCTATGATCAACCACGCAGAGGGCAGCAGGCTAAACATTGAAAGAATGAAACAAGTTTACCAGCAGCTCTCACATTACAGAGGACTCAGTAAGTAACCTGTCCCTGACTGAACTGTATGTATGTGTATTAGGGGTGGGAAAAAAGAATCAAATGGAACTAAAAACATGGGAGTCAATTGCAAGGGCAGTTCAGCACCTGGATAGTTAACAGTGGGGACATGTTAGAGTCAACCCAGGCCCCCAGGAAGTGTCCCAGGTTTTGAAGCCAATTTTTGTAGTGGCCAAACAGTGGAGTTACAACTTCCAAGTCTGTCACATGATGCCATGGGGCCCAAACTATGACTATACTTATACTACACTACTACTTATACTATTCTATAACTACATATCATAATTCCCTCTCTAATATGTATTTTATATTGTTGTGAAAACATCAATACATTTTTCCTTCAAACAGCTGTATTTATTCAAGTTTCTCGCCAAAAACTACATTTTACAAGATTGCATTGAACACATCATGAGAACGTTTTATAATGTACCTTCACCCAGTACTCCTCTTCACTGAAGAGAGCTTGAATGTGTCATAATATAAGTCAGTGCAACCTCCCTGAGCAATTAGTTGCTAAGAGCTAACTAGCTCTCCTCCTGCTGAAAAACATCGGTGAATGTAGATGAAGTTTGATTGGATAACTAGAAGAGTGAACACCCATAGTAATTGATTGGAGGAAGCAGTGGGAGTGGGATGGAGAGAATTGTGAATGGATGAGCACAAATAAAGTCTTCCTATTTTAACGTAGGCTTAGTTGGAGGATCCACTTGGGTCTCAGTTATTCAATTATTTCTGTTTGTGTGTGTCAGGTCTACTGGCATCGGTACCAACGATCCAAGAGGAGGCGGAGCCGTCTCAGACCAGCAGTGGCCCCGGTAGGAGGAAAATCGAAAGCAAGATTATTATGTTTCCGTGGTACAAAATATGTCCTCAATACTATCTTGTGTTTTCCCAGATTCTCCTCCCAAAGGTCCTGCTGAGTGTGAAGCAGCTTGTTGCTCCACAGCTCCTGATTCATCCACAGTGTGTGCATCCTCCACCTATGCTCCACACCCAGACCTGGAGGAGGCAGCCAACAGTCACCTATCCCAGACACCCTGCGCCTCCTTGGGCTCACACACACAGCTCTGTGCAGCCATAACATCTACATCTGCCAGCCATCCACCAGCCACAGCAGCTCCACCCTCCCCACCCTCAGTACCAGCCATGAGCCTTCTGTCACGGTCCAAACCCTCCTCCCCTTCCTCTTCATGTCCCAGCTTGTCCCCGTCCCCCAGTCCAGCCATGACCATGACTCAGCCGTCCTCTGTGGGGCATAGGAAGAAAGGTGTCGCTCGCAAGATGCGGCGCAGCCACAGACAGCGAGGGCGACAGAGCTTCACTTCAGCAGTCAGGGAGGGAGAGAGGAGAGCAGAGGAGGAGGACAAGGAGGAAGCAGCAGGGGAGGAGAGGATGGAGGAGGACTTTGAGCAGGATGAGGAGAGAATGGAGGAGGGGACTCCTGAAGAGACAGCAGGACATCAGCAGTGAGACGAGGTACAATATACATGATCTTTATTAACAATGAGCACCTATTACAAACATGTAACAAAAGAATCAGTGTCATGTATGAAACATTTTCGAGGGCGTGATTGTTACATATGCAATGTTGCCACAGTGTTAAGATAAACCTGCTAATATAAATAGCATAGTCTCAGCAGTCAGTGAAATGCAGTGCATTTTGGAAATAAGCTCATCTGGTCTCTTTTTAAGATTGAAATGAGCAGATAGATTTCGGGCTCATGTCTGTGCGCTCAAATCATGTTTTCCAAAACCAAAACAGTTTTTTGGCAGGCCACTGTGGTGGCTTGAGCTAGCATGTCACCAGAGAGCTCACCAGCTACATGTATGACTACCAGCACCATTTTGACTGGACACACAAAGGAAGTTTGCTGTTTTGAATTTTCTGGTACAACAACACACTAGCCACTCTTCCAGCAAATAAAGTATCTCAATGAAGCCAGGTGATGTACTTTATCAGACACCTAAGAGCTCACTGTGATAGAGTTTTGGCACAGTGGCTACAACAGAGTCCTGCATGAGATGCTTAAGATGCTCAAGACCTCTTCCTGAAGTGGCACTGCAACGTGCAATACCACACCCGCTCCTCCTCCTGCACATATGACCAATTAGTTCCACAATCCAACCTGACCTCTCGGCACAAGATCCACAGCCTGCCCCGCCCCGCCCCACCCCACGCCGAAACAGCAAATCCTTTAATAAACATACTAGGGTTTCATTGGTATTAGATTTTTTTTTGTACGATAACCGTCTCAGAAAATAACGTTGTTTCATGGTAACACAGTATTACAGAATTCATATAATTATCAGTCAGGATAACCCTTAAAGGAATGAAAATGGAAAATGGAAGCGTTATCTCTGGTCTTAATAGTCTTAAATTTAATTTTATAACCTGTTGGGAAAATATACATTAACCTATCACACTTGAATAGCCATATTCCTACACAAAACCTACCTCTGCATGAAGGGTAACTGGTCAGTTCTGGTACTGCGCTTCATGGGTATGGGCAGGCATGGGTTTTCAAAAAAAAGACCCATGCAGGACTCTGCTGCCAGGTACCCGACCCGGCCCAGGACTCTGGCCTGCAGCATTCCATGCAGTGTTTACTTCTGTTAGTGACTGGCCTCTGGGTTCATCAGTTACAGTCCTTTCTTTCTGGTTTCTCTTTCAGGTGGAGATCAAAAGAACAATCTTAAAACATCCATCCCAGACAACTGGACTGATAAAGACATACAAGGAACTGTGTTCTGGATATGTGGACAACATAAATATATATAAGCATGCATACAACACAAGTGGAAACAATACAAAAGCATTTTACTCACATTTACTCAAGACTCAAAAATGAAATACTGTCTAGGCAATCATTTAAATAAGCATAGCATCTATGGACATACAGTTCAACATTTTAGAACAGAACTAGTCTTGAATGGTTCAAAAATCATTTCTATTTCAGGCAATGGAGGTCATAATTCTAAAACAAATTTAAGATGAGTAATGAGTAATTTTCTCTTGTACAGTTCCATCTCTGAGAAACATACAGCTAATATAAGGAGCAACATAATAGACTGCAACTCCAACACACCATATCCACACTGAAGCCATAAAACATAGTGTGACTGTCAGCAGTGGCACCTCTCTGCTCGTCCTCTTGCTTCTCTGAATGTCCTTACCTTAGAAACAAGGTAGCACAGGAGCCTGAATGTCACCTGCCTGAACACACCGTCCTGTCCCTACACCAGACTCTCTCTGCGCTCTGTTGTTCTAGGACAGAAAAGATACTCAGTTAATGAAGCAGTGTATTCTGAAAGTTTGCAGTGATACATTTGCATAACTGTGGTGAGAGTTACAATAGGTTGCGGCAGACAACAGAGTCCCAGAGTGAAGGTCCAAACCAGTGTATTCTGGGTCCTGCAGGCCAAAAATGGACTTCTCTTCTTATTGAGAGGCGTGCAGGAACACTTCTAGAGCTTCAGACAGATTTACTAACCTTAAGTAAAATGTATTAAACTTCACTTTATGTCGTAGCTCCTTTCAATGTACAGCTGTGGACATTTTGGGCCTTCTTCAGGAGCACTCTTTATATTCAGGTGGGAAAACAGTAATGGAGAATGCTTCTGTTGATGTCTGACATTTTGTTTTGTTAAATGGAAGGTTTTTCTGTTCATGTGGTCCTGACGGTTGTGTTTGGGATCTTCTCCTGATTTTATAACCGTAAAGGGATAGTTGGGGTTTGTTGAAGTGGGGTTGTATGAGTCAGTATATTGCATGCAGTAGGTGTCAGTCAGCATGCCCTCAGTTTGGAAAAGGAGACTAAACAATGTACTGCTGTGGAGGGGTCTGCAACAAATCTTATTTTATCCACACACAAAAAAAAAAAAAAAAAAAAATCAGTATCACTTTAAGTGTGCACTATATTGACTGCTTTACTTTAATGTCAGACAGTGATTTTAAATGGGAAATAGAAGCCGTTATATCGCTCTCCTCACAGCCAGACTCCGTTGAGGAAAAACAGTGATTTAACATTGTTAAACACAGGAGCTGCTGGTCTACTGCTGCATCATTCACTTGTTTTTTTTAATGTGTGTTATTGTGTGACTTGGGCGTTTCAAAGAGTTGGTATGGATTCACACTAAGTCACACAATAACACAGACTAACTTACTGATAGACAGCAGTAGACCAGCAGCTCCTGTGTTCAGCAAGGTAAAATTACTGTTTTGTCAATGGAGTCTGGTGGCTTTGATGAGAGCATATATGGGGAACTGAAGCTGTTAACAGCTTCTCCATAAGAATAGGCTGTCTGACAGAAAGGTAAAGCAGTGAAAAAACTCTCAATATAGTGTACACTTAAACAATGACCTCCATCCACAGCAGAGTACATTGCTTAGCTTCTGTGTCCAACTCCAGTCTGGTTCACCAAACGGGGTGTGCTGACTGACATCTACTGTATGTGATACACTGATAATGGATAAGTACTCCATACAAACTCACTTCAAAAAAACTGAGCCATCCCTTTAAAACTGACAGAAACACTAAAGAACATGATTGAAACTCTACATGTTAATATGTAAATTTCCGATGTGAATGTTTTGGAAAATATCTCATATTTTTGCTAGCAGCAGTGACGATGTCAGTCAGTGAAAGGGAACATTTTTATAGTTCCTAAATCATAAATTAGCTAATTCAAACAATGTCAATTAAAAGGTCCAGTTAGGACCTTCTGTATAAACAGCTTTATCCCTCTGGTAATTAAAAAATGCTGCTTGTGTGGAATGAATGTAGAGAAACAAAACTGGCGTGTTGTTCTCCCCGTATATTTATCAGAGTTTGTATATAAAATATGTAAAACCATAACCTGTCTGCTTTAATAGTGGTATGATGAAGGGGGTTTCACAAAGGCCCGTGTACCTTAGTTTGTTGTTAATCTACCAGGGTTATGTTTACAACTCTTAGCCTGCCAATTTTTGTTGTTTTTTTTTTTTGTTTTTGTGGGTGGGGTGGTGGGGGGGGGGGTGCTCACATCTGAAAATTTATCTTCGATAAATTACCAAAACGACGGGTCAATGATCCATTAATCATTCTGTCAATCAGATCTTTTAAGCAATAAAATGTACTGCACTGCCAGTTTAACCTCTGAATCCCAAAAAGTAATTTCAAATGTGGTACATATTCACACTTCATAGCACTATCTATTTCTAGTTTGGGGAGGGGGAGGCACTTCAGATAATTTTTTAAGCACTGGGAAGGGAGTTGTGGTTTAATTTGTTGTAGGGGTGACAAATTCAACTTTGAATGGTTGTATTTTGTCTTTTTTAGATAGCCTCAGAACCCCAAAACCCAGAAGTGAATAGTTCAAGTACAACAGAATTATTTTTAAAGTATGTAGTGAATTGTCACATATACTCTATAACTAAAAATAAATCTGTTGGTGGACTATCCAAATAGTGTTACTACTGTATCAGAAAACTGGTAGTAGACAATATTAAATTTTTACTTTGCACAAGAAGATAAAAAAGAGGGGTTCTCATCTAGGTGCAAAATATGGAATCAAAGCAGCCAGGTCAGGTTATTTCTAGAGGAACCACACACAAATTTTCTTCGGGGATGTACTGACTGGATCAGAAGGTTTTAAAAAATGACAATCGTGTGTTTATTTTATCCTTGCCACTTTGTTTCAACCTCATTCTTTCAATTAAAACTTTACCCCTCTTTGCAGAATAAGCAAGCCATAGTAGCAGTGTGACTTTGTGAAACCCCCTCAGTGTTGCCTGGATGGGTCGAAGTTTTCCCAAAGAGGGATCATAGATTGTTAAGAGACAAACTTCACAGCCTGTGCAAGTGTGTGCTGTTGGTGTAAAAGACAAGTGGGAACTGTGAAGTTTGGACCCTAGAAGGTAAAAAGACAAATAAGCCAGTGGATTCCCCAGTTGAGTCCCTAAGGGTTAAACTAGCTGAAGCACTGGTTGGAAAAGCTCACAGTTCCCACTTTTTCTGAACACAGCACGAGCTCTGATCAGATGCTCGTGTTTTGCTGTACATTCCAACTAACAACAGTATGATGCCCTGCAGACCCGGGGATCTGTCTGACAGCTGTGGGCTCTGTGGATATTTATTTGTTTTGTATTGTACAAAAAGAGTTTATTTTCATTAAAATTGCTGAAGGAATTGTGATTGAAATGGGAGTTGATGGTGTGTTTTCTGTTTATGCTGCATTTTAAGTTCCCTAATAACACATTCATATATTAAAATGAATTCATGTATGTGGGAAAATCATCTGCAGTCTCCACTCATTTTCCCAAAATGTAACTTTGATTTGAACATCTCCTACTTGGTTTTATTGCAAATTATTTAACCTGGTAGAGCTATTCCTAAATCAAAAGCTACATCATTTTCAAGAAGAGAAAAAATGCTTAAATCATAGATTTCTGAATCCAACTTTTTTATTGAGAGATATTGTTCATGATATTTAGGAAGTACCTTATGTCCCTATCTGTATCTACTTGTGATTAGAGCTATACAGGGTGTAAATTACCAAACCAAAAAATTAGAGACAGGGGCACACACTAAAGAAGGGGGCCACATTTGGAAAGAATTAAATTTAAACATTAAAGCTCTGCTTTTAGGAAATAATAAACTTTATGTTATTGATAGTTGTTTGTTCAGTGTGGATTACCAACCATTTCTAACTTAAAATAGCCATAAACAATAAGCAAAACTTTTAGTGAACTACCGTAAATGAAAAGAAAAGAAATGCTTCTACAAATGACAAACTAATAACAGATGTGAACTTAGTGAGAAACTGCATCACAGGGATTAGTTTCACTTCCAGTGTTGTAGTTACGTAAAAGTAACGCGTTACAATTTCCTTTAAGCAGTAACAAAGTAATATAATGTGTTACCAACAGTGTTTGGGAAGTTACTTTTAAAAAGTAGTGCTCATTACTCGTTACTTCTTAAAAAAAGTAATCCCTTACTTTACTTAGTTACCCTCTGTGAAAAAAAACTTTTTACGTTACTCGTTACTTTTACGTTACTTTTATGGTGCTTGACTTTGGGTAGAACCCCATCTCATTTCCTAAATGTGAAAAAATTCATTTTCTCTTCTGGTATGGTATGGTAGGTACTTTATTAACCCCTCGGGGGGGGGGGAAATTTCAATGTTACAGCAGCAATTTAAAATACACAAAATAGGAGCTGCTGCAACAGGCTACCGTTCACAGAGCGCCAGGAAGGTAGGCAGGTTATGATTGTTCTGTTTTCTGTTAACACAAGGCTGCATTCGTTTTGATTTCGTTTGAGGTTCCGGGGTCATATGTTGCCCATGTCTGAGGTCTGACTAGCGAGGTTAACGTTACATTAAACAACACTTACCCAGCCATACAGGTGCAGTTCGCTGTCAGTATATAGTTGGTCGACTTGTTAAGAATCGCCCAGGTCTTGTACATTAGTTAACGTTACTGTTTTGTGTCCTTGTCGCTGGCTCGGCAGTACTTCGGTCCATAGAGCACAAAAACCATCAGATAAATCCAAGTATTCAATATCTTGGACATGACCGCAAAGTACAAAATTATACACATCAAGGGATTTATATGCCTTGAGTTTTTCATGCGTATAAACGCAGGGTTTCTCCACAAGATATAAAAAAATGTCCGGCCACTGTAGCTTAGGCCATTTCATTGGGTCGGTGACCCACTGACCCGACATTAAGTAAGGGTCAGGAAACCTCACTCAGTTGCTAATTGTTAGCTTATTACAATAAACTAACCTGTCTTCGGTTGACAAACCGTTAAAATAATCCGAGGAGGCGTGTGTATCTTCCATATTCCTCATACGATTCTTGATTTTGACGCTTCTGTCTGTACTGTTGACATGGCAACTGTCACAGTTCCTGCCTAGTGCGCAGCTGAGGCAGACAGGCAGTGTCACCGTCAAATCTGTCCCCGGGAAAAGTAACATTGTGCCCAACTGACAAAGTAACTACGTTCCTTTACCATATTTTCAGTAGTAACGCTTTACACTACTTTTTACCCAATAAAAGTAGTTACGTTACTGTAACGCGTTACACATAACACTGGTTACCAACAGAATTTCAGATAATATAATTTCATTTACAGCGTTACCACTATCCACACTGATCCACACCACACCACTTCCGCCAGTGCGCCATCAGAAAAAATATCCCCCGAATGTTGTTGTGTTTTGTTGTCACTACCTTATTTATACAGTCTGTGGTCACTCCAGACTACATCATAGAAGGATCCCTGTGATTGGCACACCTGGGTCATGTCATACTGTGCATTGACATGTTCAGTGTGTTTTTCAATCGACGCCGTACCTACGGCACCAGCTCTGCATCGATGTAGAGCCTACGCATTACATGCACCTCCCCAGAAATGTAACAACACGTCGCAGCTATGCGGACCTCTTGTTTATTTTAAGCTGAAACCATTTCACTCAGTGGAAACAAAGCTTTTATTTACTTCACAGATAAGAAACAATAAATTGTGACGACAATAAAGCCTCCACTAAAATAGCATTTTAAGTCTTGTGTGTGATTTATCCTTCGGGGATTTATACTTTGGGATTTATCCTGGCTTCATATGAGCAGAGGAAATCTCCACTCATCACTAGGCTAATTTATAGAACGTAAAATGCCATAGGTTTGTGCTAATAACGTTAGCATTTTACATTTGTTTGGAAAATATGTTTAGTATAAGACAGTTGTTTTGTCGGTGAACCTAGTGAGTTGTAATGGAGCCGAATTTTGTAATGTTGCCTTTGTTAAATGTTGCTGTTGTCCCTGGCTTCATATGAGTAGAGGAAAAGTTTGCTAGCTGCTAGGCTAATTTATACAATGTAGAACGCCATAGGCTTGTGCATATTCTGTTT